TGCCTGTGAAGAATCTGGTACCAGGGGTGCCAGTTCCAGAGGGGGTACCTCCTGTGGAGGAGGTGGATGGGGGGAGGAAAAATTAAGTCTTCTTCTGTGCTGCCCTGTAAGACAGGGTACAATGACAGTACTGATGGTTTGGTTTCAGGTTTAGGTGTTTTCTAGGTTGTTGTTTTCCATTCTGTGGCCGTCAGCACTTCAGTTTTCAGTAAAGGAAGAAAAAACTTGACCCAAGGAGGGGGGTTATTAACTAAATCTCCCCAGACCATTATGTATGATATTTGATCCAAGTGTCCCATACATGGTTAAAGAATAATTTTCTCAACCACGTTAATGACAGCAGGATCAAAGGTCCCCTCCAAGGGCCATCCCACGTTGAAAGTGGGCCATTCAGACCTGCAGAAAGTAATTAGTTTATCCTTCCTGACAACAACAGAGAGGTTATGGGTTCGAGTCTTAACCTCTCCAAAATGTGTAAGAACCAGGTCCAGGGGTGTAGAGGGAGTCTGTCCCATTGCATCTGTCTCAGTCACAGAGAAATAGACAACCAAAGACAAAACAGAGAGCCAGAAAGACACACAGAAGACCAAGTTACAACTTCCCCCGCTCATGCAGAAGAAAAACTGAAAGTAGGACAGCGGCTAACTGCCATGCCGCCGGAGTGACCTACCTTGTCCTTTCACAGGAATCAACAGAGTCTGGGGCCCTCCATCCCCTCTGCTGAGGTCTGGAACGTCTTCCAGACCTCTGTGGTCATGGTCATCTAGCGCGTCCGCTCCAACCGCTCCTGACCACACTGTTCACAAGTTTGCCTCAAGGCTCAGAACAAAAGCTAGGACAGACACAGACAGGTACAACTAGAAACAGACACTTAACGGCCATCCAAGAACCCTCTGGTTCGGGGGTCCTAGGGGGTCTTGGGGATCCCAGAGGAACCCCCAAGATGGGCCCAGTTCACAAGACCCCAAAGACCACCAAGGAGCCGACCGATGCAAACACACAAGGGTTCTTTTATTGTTGCAAGCTTAAGCTTGGGTCCACTCTGTCACTGACTCAGCAGATCTCAGATGTGAGACCCCGTGCTTTGGGAGACAGAGGTTTTTATAGGTTTATTTCAGCAAGTTCAGCAAGTAGGGGAGTAGGGGGTCTTCAGCCTGGCAAGCATCTGATTGGTTGCAGGTCAGTGCCAAACCATAAACTGCTGGCTTCACGAACTCTGAAAAGATATCTGGACTTTTAGTACTTTCCTGTCCCTGGTTAATTGACTGTTGGCGGGGGAGTTGTTCTCTATCCGATCCAAGTATTGTGGTTTTTCTTAGAACAGGCCTCAGGGCTGGGTCAGTCCTATGGAGGCTTTATCCAAGATGGAGTCACTCAGGTCTCTCAATATAACTACTTAATGCTTTTTCTACTTAAAGTAATTTTCATATTACCTGTCCTATTACTACTGAAATGTTTGTTACAAATGAAAATTTAGCCGGGTGTGGTGGCGCACTCCTTTAATCCCAGCACTCGGGAGTCAGAGGCAGGTGAATCCTTGTGAGTTCAAGGCCAGCCTGGTCTACATAATGAGTTCAGGTCAGCTGGCTTATTTTCCTCATTTTTACTTACTGAGTAAATCTACAGAAGTTCTAATTTGACAAAAAACAGTTTACTTACTGTGATATTTAGTGTGTCAACTTAATTAGACTAAGAAACACCTAGGAAGTTAACAAGGCATACTTTGGGTCTGTCTGTCTGCCTAGGGGCTTTTCTTGAGGATTAATTGAGGAGGGAAGAGTATATTGAATGTGGGCAGTACCCATGGCTGGGTGACTGGAATGAATAAACAGGGGCCAAAGGGCAAGCTAGCTGAGCACTGTGTTCTCCTTTCTCTTCCTGGTCCACCCAGATGGGCACCAGTAGCTTCATACTCCTGTTGCCCCAGCCTCAAGCTGCTTCTGCCACCACACCCTCCCCATCACTGTGAACTGTGTCTCCTCAAATAGTGAGCCTAAATATACCCTTCCTTCCTTAAGCTTCTTTTTGTCAGGTAGTAGTTGGTCACCACAATGAGAGAAGTAACTGATGCAAGGCATTTAATGTCAAAAGGAATTGTTTCTGTTGTTTCAGATACCTAATAAAACCTCGGGGATTAGCCCCTTTTTTTTCTCAAATACTGTATAAATTTATTTTTATTTTATCTTTAGGATGAAGTATTCTACTAGTATCAAGGAAATGGTCATTCTCTTTGCTACAACAATTTATAGAATTGGACTGAAAGTGCCTCCTGATGAACTAGATCCGCGAGTCCCCATGATGACTTGGAGCACATGTGCTTTTACTATCCAAGCAATTGGTGAAGACTGTTAATTTTTCTTTTTTTAGTGGTTTGGAGGTTTCAGTTGAGTAGAATTCACATTGATTGACCAAAAAATTCTTTTGTTTCCCTGATGATCACTCTGAAAATTCTGACTCATCTGAAGACTACTAATATTTCAGTTTGTTAGTGTGGTTGAATGCATCAGGTCTGGGAATTTTTTATATCTTTTTTAACTATTATATTAGCCCTGTGCAATTTAAATTGATATTTTGAAGGAATAACATGAAGCACACTAGAGTAAAAAATGTGGTGGAGTTATAATACCAGAAGATCAAGAATAAGTGGCAAATAAAAGGGAATCGACTTAGAAATTTATAGTAACTTATTTCTTTTATACTTTGAGAGAAAGAAGAGAAAAACCAAAGTCATCCCTCCAAACAAAAACAAAAAACAAACAAAAAATTACCAGAAAAGAAAAGCGAAGTGTGAGATGCTCAGGAGAGACATTAGCAATTGTCTGAAGGATAACCTGTCAAATTCTTTGTCAGAGTAAACACTTTCTACAAAGAATCAGAAGTTTTTAATTACCACAATTGCTGATTATAGCTACTAGGTATTATGCTATATAAAGAACTGTAATTTTTTATCTAAGCCAGTTTAGGTTGCCTTTTTTAAATATTATTTTTATTTTATGTGTGTGAGTGAATTGCCTGCATGTGTCATGCAATGCCAAGGAGGTCAGAAGACAGTTTCGGATTCCCCTGGAACGGGAGTTAAGGATGGTTCTTAGCCACCATGTGCGTGCTGGGAATCAAACCCAGGTCCTCTGTAAGAGCAGCCAGTGCTCTTAACCGCTGAGCCATCTGTCCAGCCCCAGACTGCCCTTTTTTAAATACATATTTTTGGTAGCAGTTTTTAATGAGGTCCATTTACATTTTTGTCACTAAATCTTTTTTCATAACAATGCACTATTTCGTAATTTGTATTCAGGAATAAGCATCCACTTTCTACCCTGCAAATTCCTCACAAAAATCTCCTGATAGACCTTAGGAGTCACTTCCAAACCTATTAGATTTAAAT